CATCATAGAAAACACACACACATGAATGAACAGCCCCAGGAGCAACTTTACTCTCTCTCTGAACAATATTACTGCTTTCAATAATATTCTGATCATGTTACATATTATAAGTACATAAATAAATACCAAAATTAATCATTACAAAAATAAATAAATAAATATGTCAACAACAAATAATAATGTAACTACCTTCTGTGTAAATAATAAAATAACTTGCTAACCTGGTTATTTTTACAATGCAAGGAATGAGATGTTTCTTTTACTACATGTGCCTATGTACAGTGATCATTTTCAACATTTTATTAGTAAGGAAACGGAGATTTATTCTTCAAATAATTGTTTTTGTTTAGCTTTGGAGAGTGGAAGATTGATTTCATTGAACTCAGATGTGGAACTCGGTATAATTCACTTTAACTGTTCTTAAATCCTTTGCACAGTTCTCTTTTGAACAAATCTGGCCATATGAGTGGTTCTTCTATGAAACTCAATCTGTGATATTGTCATATGAATGGATGTGTTTGTGTCAGTTTGGCAATAGAAAATGTTGGTTCAGATTACAGCCAGTTCCTAAAACAGAAACGGGGTCGACCAGTCAGACTTCCTGAATATTTCTGGTTTGCACAGATCTCTAGAATAAGAAGTGGGTAACTCCAACCCGTTCTCATTCCCAAACGTCACCTACGGACACATGTTTAGGACCCTTTGGGTAGTTTCGTCAACCAAACTACTTGGTTAGGTTTAGTAAAAGGTCACAGTTTGGGTTCAGATAAGTATGTTTGGAACCTAACCACCGTTGGGTAGCCTTACATTATATGTGTGGTCTCAGGTAAGTAGATAATGTGCGTAACTTAAAAAAAAGTCAACATTGACTTCTAGTTTCACACGGGACTCGGACAGTGGTTCTCCTGGTCTCCACCCCGACCTCGTCCTTAAGTGGACTCTGTCGCTGTTTAAGACTCTGACATACTTTCTGTGTTCCACGGACGGCTGCGGACTTGTCACACGGACGGTTTGGCACTCCACGCATGCGCATTTCTCAATCCACTTTCCATTCCAGTTGGTTGTGGTAATGTAACGTTGGCTTGTCTTTGTATACTTTTAAAGAGAAATTATACTATACTAATATGTGTGCAGTCCGCACAGTCGCAAAAACTGGACTGCACGCGGACGTCCACATAGGGTCTGCAGCGGGCGCATAGCGACATTTATGTTACATTACAGTCATTTAGCAGACGCTTTTATCCAAAGCGACTTACAATCCAGATTTTATCTACACCGTAGGCACAGCTACAGGAGCAATTTTGGGGTTAAGTGTCTCGCTGAAGGACACATCGACATGCGACTAGCGGACCCTCTGATTGAAGGACGACCCTACTCTCCACTTAGCCACAGTCGCAGACATGGAAAGTATGAATTGGCCTTATACCAAGTCAACTGACTTCCGGAGCAGTCTAATAATGACACGGATAAGTTTACATTGAAGTTACTTGAAAGCCTGGTGCGTCTCTAAAGGGTGTCTTGTGTGTCGGTATCAGACGCTGAGGGGTGTGACAAAACCATCTACCAACAGATCATCACAGATGAGCCGAAGATTTGATACATTGTGTGATTGAAAGATGAACTCCTGAAGTAATTAAAACAAACAAACATGACCAAATAAGTGATCATGGGCAGATATTGTTCAATAGTGACTCTTCAGATGGAAGAAGACAGCAGAAACAAGCAGAAACTGCATTTCCAAATGACAAACTATTCATCTGTAGAGAGTAGAGATAAGTCCAGAAAGGCAGTACCAGTTTCACCACTTCATGGCTCTAATAATGTTGATTATGTATTTATCATTTGTATTGTGCGCATGAACAGTATTGGACAAGGATTTGATAATTGCATCACACAAACTATTGAACATATTCAAACAACCCTCGGCATGCATTGTGTTTGTATGAATTGGTTACATGGTATGTTGAATGTACAGCGCTTTGCAGCACAGAGGTTAAGATGTATTCGTTACACAGTATTTGTGGACTGTTTCCTTACAGCAAGCTGAAACAGAGCTTTATAGTGAGTTTGAGTCTGTTGTTTCACCGTCCAGCTGCAACTTTACTCTTTTGGTTCACTCTCACCACTCTCACAGCTTTCAAATGCAGACAGACACAAACAACTGAAAACCCACCTTTTTCGTGTGACGCAGTTGCATACAAAGTCAATGCAAAAACGTGAATAGAAGCAAATGGGGGATGCAAATGAGTTAAGATATTTCAACTTGTTGCGAAAAATTTGCGTGGGCTGTCGCAAGAAAGCCTATCAGTGTTGAGATTCTCCTCCTGACGTCACTGACGTCCTGATGTGTTGAATCAGAGATGGAGGAAAAGATATTGTATACATATATCTATGTTAGTACTTCATATTTGTACCAAGACCGGACAAAACTCCATGTGTATAAACTGTCTATGATATAACAATAATGTTGCTGCCGTATTTAAGCCTAGAGGACGTTATTTTAAGTGTTGATGGGGGAGCTGCAATGTTAGCATAGGCTAACCCTGATCAATTCAAACTCCATTCAGAAAACAAGCTTAAGCTTAAAAGTGCTTGCTGCAGTCTGTGCACATGCAGCATTTTCTAAGCACGCAGATGGGTGAAGAAAATGGAGAACTTTGAGAATGTTGGTTTACCGTGAGGAGAAATTTGCATGGAGTATAAAAGAGTAAAACGTTTTCTCGTCACACATCCGCGGCAGCCATGTCCCTGTGACTCTATATGGGGTAAGTATAACAGAGGCTCAATGCGAGACAAACATGTGTTTGTTGTCAACCCATTATTAAAGACTTACTGCCTGGTGAACGTAGTGGAGCATTTAACAGCTAAACAGCCAGATATTTCTTCAGGAGTTGGTGGAGACCAAAAGCTGAGCTAAAAGCGAGTAAATATTGGACTTACGTTCATCAGGTGGACACAAACATGACTGCATATGAATGATAACGTTGCTCTGTGTCTGCTGAATGTGTAAATATGTATAACTGCTTGCTAACAAGTTCACCGCATTATATTAAAAAGGTGATGATATGCCAATGTGTTCACAACTTGCATCTGCTGCCGACAACACCTACTGCAGGTTCAACAAAAATGATGGAAAATGTTTGACTTCATGCAGTTTGATCCATTCAACCAGCAGAACTAACCACTCTCCTCATGCAGATTCACACATACACAGCTGGATTGGACACTACAGTCTTCAGAGGCAAAACCGAGTCCATGGTGGCAGCAGTTAGCACTCCATTTACTATAAAATCCTTTTTCTATCTGCGTTCACTCCCTCTCTCTGATGTCTTTGGTTTGATGAGGGTAAACATGTTGTGCTCACTGGCCTATCAGAACTTTCCTTTAAGAACCTGCCGGTTAGAAACTCTGAAAGCTTTCGGTCCATTTCCGCTGGGCGAACACCACCCTCTTAAACCCTCTTAATTTTCCGTGCCGTAAAGCAATAAAGCGCTGCTCATCCTACCTGGTGACTGATTCCAGCCGTGTCCCAATTCCATACTTCATACTAACTAAGCAAGTTTAGAGTATGTAGATTGTTAAATTACACATTACACAAATTACTGTAAATATGCTCTTACTAAATCTGCTTGATGATCTATTAATTGTTGAGTGTGCTCTTGATTTAAACTATCTTCCCAACGTGCAGTTCACAAAGGAAACACATAATCAACTGAGACAGGACAGTAGCCCCATAACACCCAAAAAATGAACTAAGTGTGAAAACCTGAGTGCCTTGGGTTAAAATACCTCAGCGTTGAACAGGAACAGCAATCACCTCCCTACGCAGACTTTGTTCCCCTTTATACTTCTTTGCCCGTATTCCTTCTTTGCTCTCGTCACGATTAGTACCGCCACTTGAGGCTGTAAATGTGGGTCAATAACTTGCTTGTAAAAACGATGGGGGCGCTTTTTGGGCGGTATCCAATATGCAATTAGTATCTGGTACATACTACAGCCCAATTGATACTGAAATTGATTGGTGAGAGTTCAAAAAAATAATATATAGGTCATCTTTTATAAAAATACATAATTTAAACAAACATGTTTGACAGGGTTCACATACTGTATATAGTGAGTGGGACACTCTACAGCTCACAGCAGTGAATTAGTGAAGAAAAATACAGACAGTGGTGTGTGGACTCCAATGGCAGCTAGGAAAACAGATCAACTACAATATAAAATAATGAATTGGCAGTAGTCTTTCAAAGTCGCAGTTTGACATCAATCTGCTCATATTTTCACACCTATCCTTTAGTGTATGTACTAAACCAAGAAAATCAATTGCTGGGTCCCAATTTGCATACTTCTGCACTTACACTGTACCGCAAGTACGGCAGAATACAGTGCACTGTGAGTATCTGAATGGTGTACTCATAAGTGTGGACAATTCTCACCCTCAACGGACGCCATCTTGGCTATGTGCCGAAGGGGAGGTTCCGGCAGCGGTCACTTTGGTGAACACCGCACTATACAAATGTATTGTAAGTACCACTATACTGTTGTTGGATAGAAGCCATCTGTATTTTTTATTGGTTCAATTAGGAGTGTGTTTAATGATTTGATACCGCAAACAGTAACGCTGCTAGATAGCTAACAGCAACTGCTAGCTCGCTAAAAGCGACGATTGTCATTTCCGGTAAGTGCACAACACTTTGAGACAGCACTACCCTGTCGAAAGGACCTCACTATGCAAGTGAGTACATAGTGTACACAGTGTACCGCCTGGAAGTGTACTTACAGAAGTATCTGAATTGAGACACAGCAAAATGTCTTGTATACTAACTACCAAAATAGTGCACAGTCAACGTTTGTGCATAGTTCTTACTTTGTAGTATTAGTATATCGAATGGAATTGGGACACTGATGTAGTGAAATGCCGTTTGTTACTGACTATAATGTTCAAGTACGAAGTTCAGAGGCTGAAATACTTTAAAGAGGAATTCAACACCCCCTTAAAATCTTTTTTCGCTGACCTCCAGTGGTTCTCACCTTTCAGCAGTGGCGAGCAGGTGAGCTGTGGTTAAAGGTGCAGCAACGCACACTTTTGACCACATGCTGAGAGGTGAAATGGGCTCGAGAGTCTAAGCTTCGTGTTCATGTACTCTTTGTGGAGCACCTTAACGCAACTGATGACGGACAACACAGGGCATGTTACTATGGCGACAGTATAGATATGCACTCACTGTACAACCCGACCAAACTCTTTATACAGCTCTCATCCAAGTTAGACCTAAAACTACTGACTAGATAATTGGAAAACCACAATAGTATATCATTTATATACACTTTATCTCTGTGACAAAGTCACACAAAGTCCACTTACACATGCTCCAACACGAAGCTCAAATCTAAAAAGGAGAGATTTTTTTTTTTTTTTTTTAATACTGTGGACTAATCAACCGGAGAGTTGGAAAGGACGGGAAGCTTAACTAAGACACGGAGAGTGAGTTGGCAGCTGATATTGTAAATAAATGACATAACATCAACCTTATGATTGATTGACAAGCATCATTTGGGCTAAAAACATTAGGGTAAGAACATTGTTCATTTTTGTACAGTTTCCAACCCTGACTTGTATGAATTGCTCTAAATAGACCGAAACCACGAGCCAATCAGGTTTCATTAATGGTGATCATTAAATCTTACCGAGCCAGTTAGTCCCCTGGTATCTAACAATTTTTTAATCTTTGTCCCTTCTTATCTTTTCATGCTGATTTTAATGTATACCTTTTGAAACATAAAAAACATCCCAAACTAGACTTATTGCAATGAATAACAGCAGAACGATCTCTCCCTCCTGTCTATTTCATCTGCCCTCCTTTATTCCACCCCCCTTTGTTTCTATTTAGTCGCCCGTCCTCTTACTTCTCTCCTCATCCACTTGGTCTCTCGTTTTGCCGGTGTGGTCATGGGAACCCTGCTGACATGGTAACCCCCCACAAGAGTGTTGGTTGGCGAGAGATCACTTCAGGTCGATGCCCTGAGTCTGAGACTGAGCCTTCTCCTTGCCCTAAAACACATACAAGAGAAAACAAACAGGATGCAGATGAATGTGATTAAAGCTATTAAAAAGATATCAAACTATGAATTCATGCCACGCTATCTGACACGATATAAGTTGTTAAGCTTTTTGTTGATATATAAAATGTTTTCTCAAACAGAGAAAAAACACAGTATTTCATGCAAAAGGTCAGCGAGGGCCTACATTTCATTACATTCGATTTATCTAACACTTTAATATCTGCCATCTATAATAAGTATGATTTTATTTTGGATTCCAACTCACCCTGAGCGAGGGCCGAGGAGGCCTAACTGGTCTGACAGGTCGTACTGGCTCTGCTACTGGGTTTGCTTGCCTTCTCTCCAGAGGCTCAAGGTCGTCAGCTACATCAGGACAACCAATGTATCCTCCAGCCCCAAACACTGAACCCAGATCACCTTCTAACAAGTTGTGAGTGGCAGGAGAATTAGGTGGTGCAATGTCCTGGTTGGCAGACATGTTAATGAGGGCCATGTTGAGGGTCTCGGCAGTATTGGTCTTTGATTTGTTGGTAGGAAAGGTGCTGGTGTTACTGAGTTCGAGCCCCAGCAAGTCTTCTGATGCCACATCACTGTCTGAGCTGTTATTGGTGGGACTGACCTCTGGTTCCACAATGCATTGGTTATTGTTCGCTTCAGAGGAATCCCTACTCAACAAGTTCAGCACCTCCTGGTTGTCATGGCTACCCAAGTCTTGCAAATCTTGATTTTCATTGCTACCGAGATCCAGAAGTTTCTGGTTGCCCTGGCTACCTGAAACTAGCACTTCCTGATTTTCTTTGCTAACAAAATCCAGCAAGTCTCGGTCGCCATGGCTATCTAAATCCAGCACTTCCTTATTTTCAAGACAGGAAAAGTCCAGCTCCCAATTGCCATGGCTACAAGGTTCCAGCACTTCTTGGTTATCATAGTTACAAGGTTCAAGTAGTTCCTCATCTGTGATATTGCAATAGGGTTCCACCACCTCCTGGTTGTCCTGACTACTGAGATCCAGGAGTTCCTGGTTTTCATTGCTAACTAAACCTGTGTTGTCAAGCCTTGAAGGTCCCAGCACTTCTTGGTTTCCATTGTTACACAAATCCAGCAGTTCCTGGTTGTTGTGGCTACAATGTTCAAGCACTTCTTGGTTTTCATGGGTATGAGGTTCCAGTACTTCCTGGTTGCTATAGTTAGAGGCTTCTATTTGCTCATTGTTGTCATAGGTGCAAAGGTCCATTGCTTCCTGGTTATCATGGCCATAGAGGTCCAGTACCTCTTGGTTCTCTTCCTCAGGGCTGAGCTTAAAGCCATAAGGGTCTGAGTCCCGTACCATTTGGGAGGAAGTAATGTCAAACCCATAGTGATCAATGTTCAGTTGGTCTGGTTGAGAAGAAGAGGGCTCAGGGTCAAAGGTCAGATCGTTTTCAGGGGGTTCAGGGCTCAGTTCGGCTTCATCAGGGTCTAAGAGGGTGTGACTAGAATGTTCTGGACTGAGTTTAAAGCCGTATGGGTCAAAGGAAGACTGACTGGTTGGTTCATAGCTCAACTCAAAGCTATGTTCTCTGTTGTGATCTGAGTCGGACTGGATGAAGAGGTTTTGGAAGTCTACTGAGTTTTGGGGAGTTGCAGAGTTTTGGGGTTCCTCTTCAATGTTACCTACCCATTCTGCCCCCTGACTGGAGGTATCATAACGGGACAGAGTTTGCTCTATTCCACCTGTCCAATCCGGTTCCAACCGGACTTGTTCAGCGAGCTCAGAGACATCCTGAGCTGAACCAGAACTCAGACCTAGGAGAAGAAAACAATGAGGGGTCAATGCTTGAAAGAACCTGAAAAGTAACAAAATAAAGCTGTTGACACAAAGATGACACATATTTTTGTTGCAAATTTGAGAAAAGGTTTCACATCAAAATGTGCCACATGTGTTTCAACGACCACAAACAGTCATATCATCGTTTTTACACCAAATGGCATTGAAGTGCAAAGACGTGTCCATGCGAGTTGGAAATGTTTAAACTTCGTTGAAAAATTAGCATTCCACTTCATTAATGGATAGACAAGAGGGAAAATAACCGAAAGGACTGTATGTATTTACTGTATGTTGTTTTTTTTAGTTAGAGACTAACGGTAAACTTGGCTGTTTCACATTCTACACATAGTGGCTTCAATAAAATCATTGTGACAGGGGCATCCTATGAGCTGATACGGCTGGCCTGTTTCTGTCTAAGAGGCTGGGCAGAAAAATGTACGCTTGCAGCCTCTGTGAGGTGGGGGTTGGGGGCTGCAGTCCCACAGGGGCCCCGCATAATAACACTGTTATTATATAAACAACTCAAATTAAATGAATGACCATATTAAGAAGGAAAGCACGAAACATGAATTTTAGCACCACTCCACACAGAAAATAGTAAAAAGAAACGTTTAAAACGAGTATAAAGGTTTAGTATGAGTGACCTTGTTTCAGTCCTGCTGTTTCCTCGGTGGTAGCCTCGCCAGCTAGAGATCCCAGACTCTGTTCTTCTATGTCCGAGGGAGCAGAGACAGCGCCAAAGTCCAGCTCATACCCATTGGGGTCTGATTCTATAGAATACTGACCCTGGGACCTCCAGCCCTGGATGGGCTCTGGCCCCAGCTCCTCTGACGAGCTCTGAATGGGTTTAAATCCGCGAGAATCAACCACAGCGATCGCCTCCAGGTCCTCTCGGCTGTAGCTAATCTCTATGTCGCTGTCTTCGTCGGGGAATTCAGACTCGAAGCACTGAGTTCCTGTTGAGGCTTTGTTTTCAGCACAGGACAGACTAGTGTCCCCCTCATCGGCGACATTTCCTGCCCCCTCGTCAGCGCTGACGTTCACCTCTGGGAACAAAATATCTGCTGCAAAGGGGTCGCTGCCTTTGAAAGGGTCTGAAGCGAATCCACCTGGTAAAACAGGGTATTTATAAAGAACTTAGTGATGCGTCAGTTAAAATGTTACATCCATCCCAATTTTATTTAATAATTTTGATCATATCGAAACAAACTTCTTCTACTGTAGCTAATACACTGACTTTGGAGGAGTACCTCATACAAACCCACTGCAAAACATCCAAACTATCCCTTTAACTCCTCTAAAATAAAGTTTACTGGTGTATTATTACTCACCAGATGAGTCCGTTTTAGGGAACAGGTCTTCATTGAAGAGGTCATCTACAAGTCAAGGGAGAGAGAAACTGGAAAATCATTTTATAAAACCAATGAGACACATAGTGGATTATAAAGACTGGGCAAAGCACACAGAGATTGGAACTACAGATTTCCACAGACGTTTTAGTCTTCGATTTAATACACTAGAAAACAGTGAACTCCTGGTCAGTCATCACTGGAGTTCTAATGGTCCCTGCAAATCCTGTGAGAGCACCATTTGACTCTTAGCTAAGCCCCGCCCTCTGCTACCATGGTGCCCACACTGTCACGAACTGCACTTGCTGAAGAAATATAATCAAATTTTTGCAAATAACGTTTTCAGGGAGAAGCAGACAGAAGGGTCGACAATATGTGTTTGAAGGAGAATCCAGGATGTCTCAAGTGATTCAGCAGTGAAGACATGTTAAAAAGATAAAGATTGAAGCTAAAGCTACATGTCACAGTGTAAAAGTGAACCACCACATCACCTGGAGATCGGTAAAATGGTAAATGGACTGTACTTGTACAGCGCTTTTCTAGTCTTTCCGACCACTCAAAGCGCTTTCACACTACTTGTCATCATTCACCCATTCACATACTGATGGCAGGGGCCACCTGCCTATCAGACTAACTCATTCACACGCTACGGGAGCAATTTTGGGGTTAAGTGTCTTGCTCAAGGACACATCGACATGCAACTACCAGAGCCGGGGATCAAACCACCGATCCTCTGATTGAAGGACGATCCTGCTCTCCACTTAGCCACAGCCGCCCACACTGATGAAATAAAGGAACAACACTGTTCCTTTTTATTCACTGTTACAATCTTTCTCTGCTAACGTTAGCGGCACAGGTTTTTAAGCAGAAACATATTGTTTTATGAACGTGTATACAATATATCTCCTTCCAACCTCTCCGGGTAACGAGTATCACTATCGCACGTTGAACCACGACGAGCTCCAAATCCACTAAACCAGCCTGAAGATGAAGAACATCTGAAACCACTGATGAGAGTCTATGGAGCAGAGCGGGATAGATGTTGGGCCCTGGTCAGAGCTGGACGATGCTACGTTACGATTGGCAAGTCTGCGTTCTGGGTGTCGGACATAGCGAAGGGTCAATTCTCATGTGTTCTGTTCCAAATAAATCATGGATGGCAACCAGCAGCTGTTTATATGCAGCAACATTTGTGCTAAAAGGCCAAAAAAAGGAGGTAAAAAAGCTCAGTTTGGGTGAGATCCTGTATGACTGTGTAGCCTACAAAAAGAATTTGGAGCTTTGTAAAACAAAGCTAACTTCAGGTAAAGCTGTTTATTTACCGCTATGTCTCTCACCATCAATCGCCGACATCATCGATGTCAGTCGCAAGTATCAAGCATTCAGAGAATGATACATTCTGGATCTGAGAAGTTCACCTTAAAAGCTTCACATAACACACATTTTATCCACCAACTAACCCTGACTGGGACAGACCCGCTCCATTTTGCTCCCATCAGTCATTATTCCTGAATCATATTCATAATGGGCTCAACAGTCGTATTTCATGTCCTGCATCCTGTTCTTGTAGAATGACGACCAAATGCATTTCTCTTAGGCCTGTTAGAAGTTGGGACATCCAGAAGACTTAGTGGTAATCAAATCCCCTAGACGTCAAAACAAACCATTTTACCAAAACAACCTGTTCCGTTAAGGATGGATGACCAAATGACGAGACAAATCTATACTTAATTTGGTTACCAAGTCATTAAATGAAAGGTTTTATCAACCTTACAGTGTCTAGGCTCCACGTTTGCTTGATACATACGGTCACTCTGACAGTGGGCGAAGGGGTCGGCTTGGTAGAAGTCCATTTGGCTGAGGTGGTTCTGGTAGACAGCAGGCTCTTTCTCCCCGTCATTGTTGATCTCGCCCTCCTCTGGGTCGTCCTCTATGTCAGATCTATCCATCTGTGAAGCATCCCAAACCAAGGAGGACATGTTAAACGAAGGCTGATCACTGCTGCTTAGCGTGCTGTATTAGACTGGTTGACAGTGTGATCACCAATTCAAAATCAAGGCATTAACCGACTGTTTAACAGCTTTGGTGGTTTCAGCCTGCACACCAGGTTCTGCGGCGATGAAGCTAACCTTTGGCGAGCTGGTCCCACTGTCGTCCACTTCTTCTCTAGTATCCGCTAGGTTATTGCAGAAAGACGAGCCACTGGCTCGCTGGTGAAATCACCCACACGGATAGACAGGAGGAGATGGAAAGAGAGAGTTGTAACATGAAAAAGACTTTTGCATAATCTCCAGGGGAGGAAATGCAGCTGGATCAATCGGATAAAGGTAGTCACAATAATATTGTATTACAAGTGAGAGAGCTCTTTATGTCATGAAGACAAGATAACTGCTGCTGAACCTGCCACAACCCCAGCTGTTTTCTGCTGAAAGTCTATCATGTTCCAGGTTTTCCAGTATGGTGAAGTTCTTGGCATTTACGGAGGGTTAAAGACTGTAGCGCAGAAATACACACTCCACAACTGCTCTCAGGCGATGTGTACCGATTGAAGATTACTCCACTCTGAGGAAATCTCAGACTGGATCCAACTATCGCTATAAAGGTCACCGTGGCGCAGATTGGGCCGTTTCTATCTGTATCTATCAAACTGAAGAGCGGGGTTATGGTAGAGAAAGAAAGCATCAATCAGTCAATCAAAAACTAAAGTGTCTTTTGAAAATGAAAGCGTGCGAACACGTTCTTGCAAAAACCCAGAATACAAGTAAGAACCTTAAAATGAGCATGATGTGTCCCCTTTAACTCTTATGCATTCATCTCAGTGTTCTAGTTAGCCATTATTCACATGAACAGCAACATTGGTTTCAACCTCCACATCCACCATTGGCACATTCTTTCTGTTATCAGTGAATAGCCTGCAAGCCCAACCTGTGATTAATAATGTAACCGCGTGAAACCAAATCAACAAGGCACAGCCAAATATTGTAAAGTGCTTTAAGCAGTGATTTACCATGATCAGGTCAGCGTAGGCAGGCAGAGATTGGCTCCTTCCCCACGGCCTCATGGGAAGCGGATCGTCTTCGGTGGTGTCTGCAGGAGACGTCGACTCCTCCAACTGGCTCTCTGGAGTGACTGCACTTCCTGACAGAGAACACAGGGTGTGCTCCTCCTGCAAGGATGAGAAGAGGGAGGAGTCGTGAGGAAACTGGTAGATTTAAACTTGTTTCTCTTTAAACACCACAGTTACCAAAGAAAACACACAAGTAAACAGTTTCTGTGAATACTCGTCATCTTCCCCCGCTGAGCTTGATTAATTAAAGGCAGAATAATCAAGAACTTGGTCCTCCTTGGGCATTTGTCACAGTTGGGTAGTATAAAAAATATACTACTGATAGTAATCATAAACATAATAAAGTGGTGGGTCTTCACAGAGGAACGTTAATGACAAACACACTCAAAGCGTTGTATGAGAAAGTAAAGCAGAGTGTTGTTGACAAGACTTTTATCGAGTAGTACTATTACTACTAGTACTAATTCTATTCAGAAAATAAAACAAAATCAGAAAACGGTACAGGTTCACACTGAAAATACACATTTGGACTATATATATATATATATATATATATATATATATAATATAATTTTGCGTGTGACTATCAGTATTGTACGGATGCCCTGAGAGGTAAGTGAGGAAAACTCACTTACCTCCTTAACTCCTGTTTGTGACTTAACAACAGGTGAAAAACAGGTTGACAAGGATCATCTTTCTAAGTTCCTTTTCTTGTTTTCTTTTTTTTTTTATCCAGGATTAAATGTTTGTTGATGTAATACTCATTTTGGTCACAAGAGGCCGAGGTGCACTACAACCCACTGTTCTAAATAGGACCAACCACATTCCTGTGTGAATGCACAGAACACAGCATGTGTACCGTGTGGATGGAGAAATTAAAACTCACCTGGGATAAAAATGAATGTTTTTTTTTTTTTTTTGGGGTAGTGGTGCACTTCACCCTCTTGTGACCAACATTAATTTTACAACAAACACTAACAAAAAAAAAAGCTAATCTTTTACCAGCAAATCTAAAATAATGTACAGTAACTAAAACTCCTTGCATATCTCTTTTTCTCCTCCTGCTAAAACCTTTCACAGACTGGGTTGGATTGGGGATTAAAGATGAACCTGGCCAACACTTCTTTGCATCTGTTCCTAAATCATAAACACAGTGGAGAAAACTATTTAGATCAGACTTAGAAAATGATTCATCAGATTTTGAATTTTTTTCACTTTTCCTCTCTGGTCTTCAGTAGTTGTTGGCAGAGATGGTTTCATTCAGGCCTATTGTTGCCATCACAGATACACACAAACAACACACATGGTACGCACGCATGCACATCCTATGGTACCTGCAGGATCTCTTCATAGGACTGTCTGATGGAGTCCTGCAGGGGAGTGTTCCTCTCCCCGGCCTCCTCCACCTTCCTCTTGGCCTGCTTCACCTCGTCTCTGAGCCTCCTCAGCCTCCACCTGACTCTGGCGAGCTCCCTCTCGTACTCCTCCACCTGGCTCTCCTTCTGCACCTCGTCCGCCTGCAGAGACAGGATCTGGCGGGAGAGGACGGGGAGTCAGTACCGGCAGATGGCTTCCTGTCACATCCGCTCTACTGCTCAAATGACCCGTGATAGAGATGAAGAGAGTTGTCCAAGGTAATGACATTTTATACTTGTGTTTGAAATATTACCGGCTGCATTACATATAGATTTGAATGATTGTGTTAGGAGTTCTACTCCGATCAGTCGGCACTATTAAGAGGCTTAGGGGAAGCTGAGCCTCTTCTAAATGACAATGATCATTTTATTCTAAAGCTCTTTTGTGAATGACTTGGCTTGCGGAATGATGTTAAGCATTAGCTGATATCAAATGTATGTTATCGTTTTTGGAGTAGGAGAGTGATCAAATGTGAGAGGTAGCCAGCAGACAGCACGGAGTTTCATGGCAGTAACGACACTGTAAAGGCGGAGCTAATTTAAGACTAAATGAACCATCTCTGCTAGTGATGTCATGAACCTCATCACAGTTTACCAGAGGGTTGTTTGTCACATTTCCATCCGTCCATCAGCCTCCACACAAACTAATATTTACCTGCAGCTGCTGAAATCTGAGGAGAAAACAACTACAATTTTGTTTCTTAAGTTAATTTAATACATTTTCTGTGTCATATAAAATGACAACTAGCTCAATGACAATTCTCATCCGGACATGCCTGCAGTAAAAGACTCCAGTATTATTATTTAGCGGGACAGTGTGAAAGGTTTATCAATTAGTTCCCCAGTTTGCCATGACGGTGTGTAGAGTGGTAGAAAGCTCATCAGTAGTGAAAGCCACAGTTAGTGATTTTAATACAAATAACAGAGCAATTGTCATATTTGCTCCAACTGTCACTATATCCTGACAATAGTGGTGTAGCGGACCACTGTCGATCAATGATCCGTACGTAAAATATGCGTTCAAGACGTCGCCGATCTCTGATAATGTTACATTGTAAACAACCAACTGTATTTCGTCGCGTCGGACAGCCAGCGTAGCTATAGTTACACCTGTCATCTACACCGCAGACGTTTTCAGAAACACATTTTTAGTTTACTGTTTAGCTATAAAATGAGAATGTTTGTGACCCGACAATAGTCGAGCCAAAACCAAGCACCGCCCACCCACCAAACAGAATCCTGATTCATCCCCTTCAAACTGTAGTCATTCTTTCTCCAACAACTACATTTTACAAGATTTTACATGATGTGTACATATGAATGCATCATGATAACGTTATCATTTCCCTTACGCCCAATATTCATTTCTACTGAACAGAGCTTGAACGCATCATAATGTAACTCTTTGCAACCTCCACTGACGTTAGCTGTTAGCTCCGTTATTTAGCCAAGCAGGACTGTGCTGCCCACCGGCTGCTAACGGCTAACTAGCTCTCCTGCTGATTTCAGCATGGATTTGTTGTTCACAATGTAGCAATATCAGGGAGAAAATAGTGTGCACTACAGGTGTGTAGCACTACTTTGCACATGTGCAGTAGCGATGAGGCAGGATGTAAGGACCGGGTATGGAGAGACACTTGTCGTTGTTCCTTTGTAGCGTACATAAGCAGCAGCAGCAGTTGTGTCATTACCTGTTGACTCTCCTCATAGCACAGCTGTCTAGTCGCCTTTATTTGCTGCACCAGCGTCTGCTTGTGCGTCTCTAACTTAACCAGAGTCTCCTCCAGCTCATTGCGGTCCGACTGCTGCTCCTGAAGCTCCAAGTTCTCCACGGTCACCGCGTTCTCCAGCTCCTACACACACACACACACACACTGTTTAGGATTTAAGGATGATTCCAACTCATGGGTGGGATGATAAAACATAAGTGGAGATGTATGAACACACACACACACACAGGTACAGGGGAAAGGTGTTGATGGAAATGTTCTTTCACAACACCCAAATGATCCTATGGAGGTAAATACTTCAAGTTAGCCTGATGCTATAGAGGTGAACAGAGATCCATTGAATGCTTTATCACATTAGCATGTAGCACGTCTTCAGCTCCTGATGGCTCCCTTTAAAAGTCTGTGTGTCTGTTCTTGGTGTGACTATATCACAGCATCAGGTTCCGCTTAGTTTAATTATCTCAACTATTATCACAATCACCAATCATATTCATAACGCTACCTAGAGCAGAGTTTTGGTGAACAGGCATATGAAGAACCAAGACGGTGGGAAAAGAGACTGCAAACTGGTTTGTAGTTCAGGATTGCTGATCTCTCAGGGGAAGGACATGCCGCTCCACCAGAAACATCTCGGAATTCAGTCGGGTGCACATTCTAGAGATTAGTTGGTCAACAGATAATGATCTAGCAATCCTATTGATGATTGATCCAAGATTGAATACATTTTCTTTTAGCTAATGGAGAGAATAATCAATTGCAGCCCTGTTCCCTGTAACGTCATGTTGGGAATAACATAGCCTGACACGGGTTATCAGCAATATGTTGGTAACGTAAAGGAGGGTGTTTGGGTTATCAGCATCTAAGAAACTAAATTCTTGACATCAATAGAATTATTAATGTCAGTAACAATTATTAATGATTATTAATAATAATGGGGCACCACCCTGCGAACAGGGACCAATAACCAAACGATGAACTAAGTCTCATAATTAGTGTTCACTCACAATGTCAATAGTCTGAGTACTATTACACATTCAGAGTGAAAGTGAAGGTTTAAGTTCGAGCACAGACCACATATACAGCTATTATCACAATACACATGCACAAAGTAATCACAGACAGCTGCTCTTTAAAATATAACAGTTTATTACGTTCTAATACTAATGATCTAGTCAACTAATATCTAAACTAACAACTATACATTCATGAGCACGCTATCTAAAATCAACAAACTATTGAAAAGAGGGGGGGGAGTGTGTGTGTGCGCGTTTGTGTATGTAAGGGGGAGGAGCGAGGGAACAGCTCAGCGACGTATGACGTAGTTGGGACGTGGTGACGTCTCTCATGCGCGAGACTCAAAATGGCAGATAGCCAACAGAAGACCCGGCGTCTATACATGCCGGTAGCCGTTTAGCACGTAGCTACATTAGCTCAAAGCTATATGTGTGTGTGTGTGTGTGTGTGTGTGTGTGTGTGTGTGTGTGTG